TGTAATTCCGGCTTTAGACTGGTGCATGTCTTGACATTGACATGACAGTGTTGTGAAACATTACTCATGTTTCACAACACTGGCTGAATTACGGCTAGAACAATCATCAAATATATATCACTTTGAAATAAAAATAAAATATTCTATAAAGACTCATACTGCAATGAATGCCATTAAAATAGGAAATGACATATGGCGTCAATGGCGATTGCTTTACAGCTGCAAAAAAACGTTTTGAAAAAAGGGTAGGTATTTACTCATAAAATAAAGGGGATTAATTTTTACTGTATTTTTGTAACTCTATAATAACCATGCTATCATTACAACTATTATATCAAAGCCTTCTTTACCAAGACATCATTCAACACGAACCAGTTAGAATTCAACGTCAGCTCAGGAAAGTATACGAGTAATGATGACACAAAGTAGGACAATTATTGAATTTTTTCTGTCAACGTTATGGCCAATCGATTCAAAGTCTAGTTTCAACCCAACTTTCAGTACATTATTCAATTTTCAATAGCAATGAAAATGCTGTCACGCTTGCTCAAAATCACCTTTGCAGTTGAATGGTTATTTGCGTTTCACCGCAGACCATTTAAACCAGAGGTTCTCAAACTTATTTTGTTTACCGCCCACTTCGAGAATTAATTATTTTCTAGCGCCTCCCAACTTTTTTTACTTTACTACATCTTAAGGATCACAATCGCAATCATTATTTTAATAATTAAATTATGTGTGTCATGTGAAAATAAGATTTTCTGATGAGGGTAATGTAAAACCATTTTGTAATATTAGGAAAACTTTTATTCATGTTATTAAAACAAACGTTTCAGTTTGAATTTTAAAACTAATCTAATGTGAAGAATGCATTTGATTATTTTTAACAAGTTTGTTAATATCAGGCTCGAATTTACTCAAAAACAGCCGTAAGTCACCGCGTTCGATAATCTGCAACCGATTTTTTTTTGGTTAGCAACATTGCCACTAAATCCACGTTCACACAAATACGATGATGGGTATGCTATCAAAAATCGTTGAATGATGGACCACAATCCAGGGTACAATTGCGGGATTGGCTTTTGTAGCCAAAATTCTTGGTATCCATTTTTGAATTTTATTTTTATTTCCTCGTTCGTTATCAGTTCTATGAGTTCTTATTTCAGCTGGGGTGATCCTACTGTGTTGACATTTGAAAAAGGATCCAACGCACAGTCCGGTATTTCCAATTTTAATATGTCCTGGAATCGTTCTGCGAAATCACTGTGGAGGTTCTCCAAATGTTGACAGTAAACAAGCAAGTCGTCGTTGTTGAAGAATACTGCTGACTAATTAGGGAAATTGTGAAACTCTTGTCTGCCGATATTATTCTTATATAATAGCAATTTGGCTACAAAAGCAGTAATGACATTTTTTGTTTTAATCAAATTCAAGTCGTCACTTTTAAGTTGGAGATTGACATCATTAAATAATTTATACGAACTGTCAAGTACGCAACATCATTCTTTGAAGTAATGAGGTTGTCGTGCAATTCTTTGTCTTTGTTTTCCAAGAACTCTATTACAGAGTCAAATAGATTGTAAAATCGAGTCAGTCAGTTACCTCTTAATAACCAACGCACTTCTGTGTGAAATAGCAATCGATTGAAATCTTCATCATTAGCAATACACAGCTGATTAAATTATCTGTCATTTAAAGAGCTGTTTCAGATTTTATTGACTGCTTTGATGATATATTGATTGATTGAGAGAGGCGCTCACTCACTTTATCTAAATTTGCTGGACAACTTATTATAGAGTATAAAAATTCAATATTTTTTTCACAATTTGACCACCGTGTGATATGATAATATTATATCATCTGCAACAACAGCGCGATAGAGTAATGATGCAGGCTAGAAACCTTTCGTATGTTCTGCCTTCATGCATAAATTTCTATTAAACTTTGGTACATACATAAGGGAAATGTAGAATCCTCAGTATTTTGAATAATGGTTAGCAGAGGTCTCTATATTTAACCCATATTATTTTTTTTGATTGATTCGGCTGTTACTTGATGAAGATCCATAGTAATTTCATAAACTACACCTTACGATTGGATCTCCACAAATTTTTTGGAGATCAGTGGCGTGGTCGATGTACTCTTCTTGACGTGCCAACTGGGTACTTCTACCACGCCAATGACTGCCGCAGTTGCAGTCGAAACGTTTGAAGATTATAACCAAAGAAGACCAAGGCAAAACCCGGAAACCAATGAAAACATTGACGCTAACCGTGAAAGCCTACATTCCTATAATGATTGAACATACCGTCCATGTAACAACACATCAACATTTCTTATATTTGTCTCGCACAATATGCTGACTAAGCCACAAAGAAAAATCTGCTGTCACTGGGCCCACAGAGAAACCGTTAGAAACCAAAAATATTAAATTAATTATTCAAGTGTGCCTGTATAAATACACAATTCGAAAAAATACGTCAAAACAAAAAACGACAATAGCATATAAAACAATGACGGATGTGAATGTACATTTCACTATAATGAACACATTATAAATAAAAAAATAAATGTAATAAGTGTTTTTACAAAAAATAATCGCAGTTAAAAATAAATTCAATCATATACATATCACCCACATATTATAAAGCTTTGGAAGTTAGGTATCTTTTTACATGTTCTTGAAAAGATAAAAGTTAATTTCAATGATTTGAGCCGAAGAAGTAGGTTATAAAGATGAACATTCAAAGAATTTTTCATTAATTTATGTAATTTGAACTCTTATGGCCTCATTAAATAATTACCACTTGTATTGTAATTGTAGTAGTAAGTATTTTATTCAACGTTGGTTTTGGTTTCATGAACCTTAAGTGAAACATATATCATGATTTTCAATTAAGTATATAAAAAGTGATTGACGGGAATTTCTATAAACAGCACCCAAAATTTTCCCAAATGCTCGTTTCAGGAGAATAAAAAACCTTATTTACCTTCGAAAATTTCCCCAGAGAATTGTACCGTAGGAAATTTGCGAGTGGAGAAAATCAGAACAAAAAAAACTTTCATTTTTTGAAGTAGGAACTAACAATTGCAAACTAACAATTGTTTTTAGTTTGCATAACAGTATTTTGAGATTTTGGTACACAGTTGCTCTATATGACTGGGCCGATGTAGTGAATTGTCTAGGATTATGCCCTACGTCTTGGCAATATTGCCGTTTGTTGAGGAACTCTCTGAAAAGAAATATCGCTTTTTACCGCAATTCAGCAATAAGTTGTTGCTTCTGAACCAATTTTCAACTTTGATCCTTACTCTGTTCGTTTCATTCAATGGCTCATTGTTGCGTGGTCGGTACCTACCACATTTGTTGTAGCACCACCAAACTATCCCTAACAATTGGTGATTTATCAGCCATCTTGTTTTTCTCCCTTGAATTCGTCATGTGATATTCATGTTAAAGTTCGTCATATTGGGTTTATCGTTTTTTGGGGGATTCCACTGACATCAAGGTATTTTTCGTATTCTTTTCAGCAAACCCGTTCTTTTTAAATGTTCATCATGGAATTGTTTAAAAAATAGTCCCAAATCTGAGTCTATCATATTGGATTAAGAATGATGGTATGTTGTTTTTCAGCAAACCCTTTCATCTGATACGCATATAATGTGGGTGCATTAAAAACTAGTGACTTCGCCAAGGTCGCGCTCAACACTTGTGTTTCTAGATCGTTCTAGGCGTTGCGTCGAATCGAGAATAAATCTATCAGTCTCCTGAAACTTTTGTTGGCATATATAAACACTACCCACCCGAAAATGGGAAAAGTCTAGTTGACACTGCGGTGCGAAGTGTTCTAACAAGGCGGTGGACATTTGAATATTAGTTTGAAGTTTTAGTGTTCGGTTGTATTGACAGTGTAGCAGCGAAATAAAATTGAGTTTAATTATACAGTGTCGTCAGTTATTGGCAAACTCATGGGAAAACGTAACAATACAAACATTAGAAGTTACATAAGGGCTTGGAAAATTGAGAAAGTTTGGCGACATGCCTTTATCAACAGTTTTGCTTGGTCTTCGACGTTCGAAAAAAAATTATAAAAAGTCGCTCCATTCCTTTATATACCGAGTGGCGAAAATTTATATACCGAGTGGCGAAAATTTAATTGCACACTATTGATATTTAGGTAACGGTAAAAGATGTAGAGTTAGTTAAATTGGGCAAAAAGTGTCATTTTCAGAATGCAATGGAATTATGTTGAGAAATCCAGGCTTGTTATAATATCAAGTAATACATATATGTATATATTGCTCTGTTTGGAACCTTTGGTGTAGTAATGAATATTACTGGATATCAGTATTTTCCATTACTCATTTTTCAAGGTTTTAAAACATTTCTCTTGAAAAATATTAGTTAATCACTTTTATATTCTGAGTTCACACCCCTTCTCCAGTTGAAGAATTGATTTATGATTTTAGAATATTGCAATTCGTGGAATCTTAATAGTTCAAATAGGAAATAATATTTCTGTCAAGGATGGACGGAGGCAGCACTTTTTCTAACTATGTCTTTTTATTTCAGTAAAGAAAATATCAGTTCCATCTTTTTAGTCTATCCTGATTCAAAACAATCACTTTCTCAATATCAAAAGTTAATTTTATTTGAGCTACTTTGCAAATTGCAATACTTTGAAATCATTAAATATTATAACTAATATACAATGCGGTCATAAAAGGAGTTTGATACAAATCCTAAACGTAAAAGGTTAAATAGTGGGTAAAAACTTTTTTTTTAAGTAGTACCAAGGAAGTACTACTACTTCTTTAAAGTAAATTTTGATTAACAATAAGAATTACATTTAGTCACACTTTACCTGATCTCGGTAACTTCTTCAATTCAGAATTCAACTAAGAACTTTATATGACCACAGAGTATAATTTTACATTATGACATATTTTAGTAGTACTAAAATTTTATATCAATATTAATTATTTTCTTTATTGTGTAGAATCTGAGAAGTTTCGAGAAATGCAAGCAGCCACAGAATCTCCACCCAAAAGTCTTTTTCACTTTACCGACGAACATGAATATCCACCTCTAACTCAGAATTCTGAATGAGATCAACAACAGAATCTTTTTCAGTTCCATTTGGGCCAACTGACAAACAAGGAAAAGTTGCAGCTCACCTGTGTCTCGGTTCTCATGATTCATCTGATTGTTTGCCTAATTGAGGATATTGTATTGTGTATTTTTGAGTTTACCTTATAATATATTATATTGATATGTTAAGTTCTTCCGTTAACATTTTTGTATTGTGATACTTTTTTAAATTTCAGTCTAATGAAATTGGGAAATAAGGCATTGGATTTTTTTTTTTTCTATAAAATAGTCTCATAATTTGATGAAACTGTTGTCAAACGGATAATAAAAAAATTATTATGTTTTCTCTACTCAAATTATGATCACATGAACTTCTCACTGGTTTGAGCTGGTGATGTTGTATCTGAAATAACTAACAGATGAACTTGTAACGTTTATTCAGTTCAGAGAACCATATTATATACGAAATATTATTTTTGAATTCAGGGATTATGAAAAAAAAAACGACTATTTTTTTTTATTGGCTTAGATTTTGATGTCCATTTGTTGAATGGTTTTGTTTTTATTTGTTTGAAAATACATGTTTCGCTTTGATCTCATTAAATCCCTTCTGATGTCACATGCAGATTTCTTTTTTCAATACAATTCATAATTGAATAGGATGGCGACTGTTGAATATGATTTTGATTGTCAAGTTGGTGGGAATTCGGTCAAAATGTTGAAGAAAACCAATTTCTAAATTGTCGACGTTTCGAAACTTTATTGTTTCATCTTCAGGACTCTGAAGTATAAGAACATGACATACATATTAAAATGGAAACTTACAAAGCAGTTCTGTTAGAAACAAAATAAATTATGTAATATAACAATCGTTAAAAAATAATAAACGTTTCGAACACTTTACAAAAAAACAACGTTGATGAGTACTTACATTTAGGGCGGCTTTCCGAGTTGAAGGGTGAAGTGAATAATTTCGACATAAAATATAAATACGTACACAGGTTCCTGAAAGACGTTGACACAGACACGAAGGGATTAACAATCTGAACTGTCTGTAAATCGTTCTTTATAATTAAAAAAAAAACATGAAAGAAATGAGAATTGTATTTGGAAAAAGCAGTCGGTTAAGGATTCCAAAGTTAGTTATTGTTTGATTTTTTCTATTATATTGAAATATGAGGTGTGTAAGTTTTCAATATCCGACTTTTTGTTAACACTTACTTCATACTTCAGAGTCCTGAAGATGAAACAATAAAGTTTCGACAATGTAGAAATTGTTTTTCTTCATCATTTTGACCGAATTCCCGCCAACTTGACAATCAAAATAATTCATAATCTAATATTTTGAATATAAATTATTTTTAATATGACAGAATGTTATATTGCTAAGAAAAAAATTCTTTTATCGAAATTGAAGGTTTAATTTAGTTCAAGAACGTTCAAATAACCCAACTTTGTTGGGAATTTGAATTACTGCATATGTGGACCAATTAATGTATCTAACCTAATGAGCTTGCATCGGTCTATTGAAAATCAAACTATATGCATCATAGGCTGATTGATTGTGAACTTTATCATCATTTTATATTCGACTACGGTTGATCAGCAGAATACCAATTTTGAATATTGTCCATAAATAATAGTTGCTATAGTCCGAATTTCACGTTTTTCATTTCAGTAGTAAAGTACTGCAGATTTTCCAAGGAAAACTCATTAACCAGTCAAAAATTCACTTGATACGAGTTCAGCGCCAGCTTCAGAAAATTAGGCTCTACATTCATTTTTCATATACACCAGAAAAAAATTCAATAAAAACCAACTCTATTTCAGACTTCCGTATTTTTAAAAAATCGATGTGAAAAAAGTTAAATTCCATGGTTGACAACGTGGCTGGTACATTGGTATTGTTTTATTTAAGTTGATTGGTATATAGGTGAATAGTCAATTTAATCCTAGTCTATATTACATATAATGATGAAAAAAGTTCCTACTTGAATTTCAATTTTCTTTCTGAATTGAAAAAAAATCGAGAAACGAGCCCACTGTCTTATGACTTGAATCTGCCAGCAAAATTGGATACATTGATAGTATGCAGATATTTTCTCCAGTTAACCTTCATGTTTGATATCAGGAATTGGTGCAGGGTACCTGTACGTTGTCCTCGGTATGTCAAAGCCATAAGATTAGTTTCTGATGACGCGTCAGATTTCTTGCTGACTTATACATCTCTCTGAATTACTCAAGTAAATATGTTATTTACCTGTCAAAGGTTTTTTATGTGTGTTGAAGAATTTTTTTTCAATATAAGTATTGAAGTCGAGTTCATATCTCAAAAAGAACATGCTAGAGCGGCAAACAATTATCTGTGTTTAGTTTAATTATATCATAATTATATTCTAAGCAAGAATATTCAAAAAAATTAATATCATATCAATGTAAACAATGGTGAGTGTTCAATTTATCAAGCGAAAAACTTTAAAAAAATATTTAGATATAATTTAAGGCAATGTAAAGATATAACAAAAAGACTGTTGAAACTATTCGTAGATCAGATCATCTACTGTATGCGCTGATTCACACAGAACTGACGTGGGCGGATACGTAACTTTGGCTTTGTGTGGCACCACGTCTTTTCATGGAAATTGGGCCATTCTTTTTTATAGGAAAGAAGCAGAAAAGAGAATCCACGCCTCGTCTCCGCTCGACCTCCTTTTGTGAATATGCGCTAAATGAGCTTGCAGCTCTAGTGAAACTGTGAAGCTTGAAACAAAAGGTGAAATGAGTTGAATTGTTCCTGATATAAATTGACTCAAAGCGAGAGAATTGTGCTGAGCTACTTGATTGCTTTGCTGTTAATTGCTTGATAACAGTTTCACTATTGTTTGGAGGTTTTTCAGCAGGTGTATTTTGTTCTATAATCGAAATATATGGAACAGAGAAAGTATTTCATTTTTGGATAAATTAGATTAGTAAGAGCAAAACACACCTAATAATGGCAGTTTGATATCTTTGTATATTACTACTTTTAAAAAAATTGTCAGGATAAATTTGTGATATAAGGGTCTATTATTGAAATTTCAAATATTTTTTCAAGTATAAAGAATTATCAGTAATAAGTTTCGAATGGAGGGTAATAGGGTTCAAAATACAGCTTTCAACTCTCCTGGATATTGAAAGAATTTTTAACAATTTTTGTTTCAAAATATTCAGGATATTTGCTTGTAAACTTAAGTACTTTCAGTTTTTCCATTGTGTTGAAATGAGTTTCAAATAATTTTTTTTACAATGTAAATCGTTTTATAAATAGTTCAACTTGGGGGTTAGAAAGTTACTGCAGATAATTGCTCGAGACGTTCTGATAAAGATAGGGAACATTATCGACTGGACAGGTAAATCATGTCCTTCATATTTATTTATTGGTGTGACTGGAACTATTTTTATCACAATTTTCAGCTCAACAATATATGAAATGGAAAGTTGTAGTCTAAGAATTATGAGAAAATTTAATTACTGTGAAAATAAATTAGGGAAAAAAAATTTTCAGGTTAATAAATTTCATTTTTTCATAGCTCAATAATGTTATGTCTGATCATTTTCAGATCTTTTATCATCGCATCCGCCATACGTTCACTGCCGACCCTTAATGTCCATCACCCTTAGGATATGAATAGGGAAATACTAAGTGTGACATATTAATTAAATGATAATTAAATATAATTTTTACGGAATCAATCCATATGAGTGCCCACTAAGTGACTTTTCATTTTGGCGCCCTCTTGTGTAAAAAATTAACGCTACATATTTCAAAAATGGAACATTGTGCATAATTCCGAACTGCATTAATTAATAATAGATCGCTTGAACTGTTCTGCAATAACTGACATACATGAAAATCTATGTATATTTGTATGATATTTTGATGCATTATGGAGTTACTTGTTGATATTGTTTATCCTGGCATGAACATGCCCAAATGAAACGTTATTTAGGAAACAGCCACATAGATGAATTCCTAAAGAAATACCATTTCGATCTCACACTTGGTACCTTCCCTATTTAAATTCCAAGGGTGATGACCAGATAGGTGTGACAATTGAGGTTATGATAGAAAGATGTTCCCCTTGAGTTGAAAACTGTTTTTGCATTTTTCTCGACAAATGTGTTTTGAAGATATTCGATCTGTTTCGTTTTTGGTGCTGCACTTTGTATGTTGTAATAATCTCCATCTCTTATCTATTTGGATTTTACAATGTGGAGGAACTATAATTTTGGGTTCCCTAAAATGAGTTTTTTTTTTTAGTTATGTTATTCTTGACAGGATGCAATTTATTTTCAGTATTTTGACTCATTGTGCATCCGAAAATTTCAAAACAATTTGAGAATATGAGACAATAGATACATTTTAGGATAATTTGTGTGAGTTAACTCATAATCGTTTTCAAGCAAACTAATTTCATCATAATTTAAGTGCACAATTTATCCTGGTAGTGTTGTAAGTGTAAGGTGAGAATATCTGTGTTAATTTTATTTGCATCAGTTTGGTATAATTGAATGTGGTGCACATATTCTGATTTCAAATACAAGTTCTCACTTGTACAATATATTTTGTAAATTCAGTTTATGCACACATTGTGCTTTGTAAATAATTTAATTTTAAGGTGTTGATAATTGTAGTTTATTTTATCAGTGCTGTAATTTTGTACCCGCTAGATTATTTATTCTCAATTTATTGGAATAAACGACCTGAATGCAACTTGCCTTCTTTCAGTTTTTTTCTTCTGAATATGCTAAACAGTTTTCATTATCAAAACATGCTAGAAGCCATGATTTAGGACAAGTTAGCAAAAACAAAAACCAACTTTCCATCACATGTAATCCACTTCTTTTCTGCTCATCTGAAAATAGAGAATACATATTAAGAGTGAAAGTGGATTAATAAATAAATTTATTCAAAGAAAAAATTGATTGAACTACTTTCTGTTCAAAATATGTTACTCCTCATAAGCAACATTGCAATTGAAAATAGATTCAATAGCAAAGCCTATAAAGATTTGAATCTTCCCAAGGATGGAGAATCAAGTGAAAACAAATTCGAAAGTATAAAAGTATATGGTTGAATATCAGTCATATCTAATAATACTTTGAACCACCAATTATAAAATTAGATGATTTGATTGATGGAATAATTGTATAAGGTAGAATATTGCACAGTCAGCCATAAACACATACCACAAAACTCGAAGATTCAGAAAGTCGAGATGAATATCAGAACTTCCAAAATATGTACTCTCGTTCAACATTTCTGGGCTTTACTTGAACATGGACGAAAATAATACTTTCTATTGATATTTCATTCACAACTTCAGCAAAAATGTGGTAACTCTTCAACTTACTTTTATAATTCTTTCAACAATACACAAAACATATTTTAAATAATGATTTCAAATCTATATAAAAACAATTCTGAATGAAAATGTAACCATTATTTTGTTACAAGAATCAGAGTACATTTGAATTTTCAAGCTATCTTATCTTGACAAATTTGAATTTTTCAGTAATCTTGAATCAAAATATCATTAATGTAAAATGTGTTGAAAAATTTCGGAGTTATTTTATAGTTTATTTTCAAAAGAGTTGCAGAAAAAAAACGTATTACTAATGCAAAACCATTACAGAAATGTTGAGCGTTAATTTTCTTTAGTCCCACTTATTTTCTATCAAGAATGGAGTATTTGCATGTTGGTATTCACATGATTTTATGGATCTACCTATTGTTACCCTTGAGTAAATTGTCACAAGTGAGCGTCTAGGAAATGGCTGAAAATAATATTAAACAGATTTGGATCAAAATATATTTCTCAATATACATCAATCAAAAAGTAGCTGTTTTAAAATTCAAAAGATGAAACATACAAAAAATAGCTTTTACATTTGAAAATAAAAATTATACAAAAAATTACATAAAATATAATACTAAGCATTACAATAAAGTAATATTTAATACTCTACCTCAAGAAATCGTTTAACGATTTTATCAATAATGTGGTCCAATTCTCATATTTTTTCTTAGATAACCAAAAGATGAATACATTCTTCCTAGTAATCTTTAGTGACTTTTATATTTTCAAAAAAATTTTGAACATGACATCCCATTGTTGGCAGTATCTCTTTCAACTGAGAATGATAGCTTGCATTGTTCATTATAATGACAAAAGTCTCTTGGAAGTAAATCTAGATTTTGTGAGAACTATACTTCATCATACTCACAAACAAGATTTGAAATATTGGACTCATTCAACAAATCCTTCCGAATTACCCATATGTGTGATGATAACACGAGGCCCTTCTACATTGAAACCAGTTGACTATTTTTGCTGATACGAGTATGCCTGCCGCTGACTGTGGATGTTTGCATCTTGCCAGTATTTCAATTTCCTGTGTCTATCATTCAACCAAGTTTCATTCAAATAATTTATTCTTTTCTCTCCCGGTCTTTCTAATACTTAGTAAATTTACTGAAAGAATGAACTGGAACCTCTGGTGTAGAATAAATTCAAATCACGCCCTGAAGACACCAACTTGATTAGTGAAATGGGTGTTGAGAAGAGTATTGCAGTTCTAATGTTTGTGAACAGTCCTTGCTTTTGAGGTAAATATATTCTCCACCACAATATTATTGTGTTGATTCAAAATTTTCCAAATGTTGATTCAACTCATTTTGGAATAATCTGGATCTTCTTGTTCAGCTGCACAAATGTTGTCCACTGTTGATATTTCTTTTAAAAAAAATATATAGTTTGCGCCTTCAGTACCTGCTTTAAATTTTCATCAATATTAAATGTTAGTCGACCTGTAGACGTCATTGGTGGTTTTATAACTACTTGCTTGTACACTCGCGCTGCCATTTTTAGTACTTCATCAATTTACACCAATTTGAAATAAGTGTGTTTTAATTTACAGAAAAAACACCAGGTCTCGACTTCTTGGAAATTGTCAAAAAAATGGCATATTTAAATGTTTACTGTGTGCACTATATCTGAACTTGTCGATCAAAACTATCGGATGTTAATGCCATTTTATTAGGGTGTTAGTAATGTACTCATAATGACAGACAACAATAAAAGTTTTATTAACCAAACCCATTCAGGTTGGTTGTTTTACCAAGTAATTATACTGTTTAATGCAATTAAAGAATCAATGAACATTTTAACAAGTGCTAATGACTTCAAAAGGAAACAATTTTTTAATAAAATCTAAGTTAATGTGCACTAGCAAACACAGAAATTAACCTTCCTTTTTTTTGATTAACCAAAGTGAATATAGTAGTAACTAATGAAATATATTTTAAATTGTAAAAAGAATGTGAGGTTTGTAATTTCTGTATACAAATAAAGTTTCTCTACTACAATTTTACTTCAAATTGCAAATAACCGAGGTTTCACTATATATAAATCACAGATAAAGATTAAAATTACTCTACTGTTTGATTACTCAGTATTCAAATATTCAGTATTCATGTTTCGAACATCACCACTTTTTCGTGAATGAGAGCAGTGGTTAGTTCTGAAAGATAAATCCAAAATTTTGGTTAGTTTCGGACCACCCTGAATAATCTGATGCTTTTAAAAGTCATTATAGACTGTCAGCTAGACATTTTTTCAAAATAATCAGTGAAATAACAATATATCTCATATTATTTATTAAATAACAAAGATTTGTGTGACTGCTTATGAATATTTATACATTCAATACCTTAATGGGATCCGCTGGACCTCGGCAGGTTGCACATTTCACAGTTGGGATTTTCAGCGTTGTTAAGAAAAGTGCAAAATGGACAGGTCCACTTTGGTCCAGATGAAGTGCCAGCTGATGTAGTCACACTGCCAGAAGCCACACTTCCAGGTCTAAAACAGATCAAATGTTAGTTAAGAATCAACTCCTTTTACGTGACTTTGAAGAAGAATCACTTAGGCTTGAAGAAAGGGCACTTGCTATCCTCTCAACACAGATATTTCCTGAAATTCTGACTTTTCATTTTACAAGATTCGTTGCGTTCAGCAAAACAATCATTAGGTATCTTTGATGTTTTTTATGTTTCTATTCTATCACAATCTGAAAAATTAATATAAAACAACAGAAACTGTGCTCAAATGAAATAAAGAGCAAACAGAAAAAGTTACTGTATATTATAAACCTTTTGAGAGTCAGGTTATTCAGTAACTTGTATTTATAAATTTTGCCTATGAATAAACTGAATGCTAAGTATTGAAAATTTTATTTCATTAATAGGCAAAGTTTATAAATACAAGTTACTGACTAATTGGAATCTTCAGAAGTTTATATTACACAGTAATCTTTCGGGGTGAATTTTTCAATTTGCCCTTCATTACACTTGATCAGATTCTCTTATTTATTATTCAGATCATGGAAAATAGAAACCCAAAAACATCAAGGAATAATTGAATCCTCCACAAAGAATAATGTCTATCAAAGAATATTCTTTAGACATTTTGTGATTAAAAAATAATGAAATAGTATCTTCTAAATTATAAAAAAAAAGGGTTACGTCTGCTCAGACTATGTTTCAACGGAGGTGAGCTTAGAGCATTTTTCATATTTTATGGTTAAACTATTGAAGTTTTGAAACCCCCTGTTATGACTAGATAATATAGATATGCTATGCATTTTTCGTGTAGTAGATATGTATTTGATAACAAACCACAATCGAATAATCCATGTAAATAAATATTCCAAAAAGAAATTCGAAATATTCATCTCTACTATATCATTCCTGCAGAATGCACTGAAAATCATTGCATTTGCCAGGACCAAGACCTTTCTGAAATCATGACAAACCTTCAGGCCAGTTTCCCAAGTATTACTCCTTATTAGTCCAGATTGGTTCTAACCAAGACAACAATGTCATTGTTTTTCCATAGGTATTTGCCAGGTGCTTCCATATAAGAACATTGGAAAGTAAATATTTCTAATATTTATTTGATTTGCATATCTTCCTCGCAGTTCTCTGACTAATTTCATTCAAATAACTTGGCAAATAAAACTTTATTGTGAGATTTTCACTCAACAGTTTACAAAATCTCGACAGTATACTAGTTTCTTCAGGTATGAACAATACTAACTAACAAATTTACATTGTACTTTAATATATTATATGTAATTTGATTCTTGACTATCCATCAAATTTCAACCTATTAAATTTACTAAAAAATAAATTTTCACCGGTCTCAACAGTGACAAACTCATTACATTGGACATATAATAAATACAAAAACTATGGAAGACCTCATATTAATTACTTCAGTTAAGTTACAAAACAAATTCAATAAAGAGAAATTATTCAAATCTATTTGGTTATTGAACAATAGTTCTTAATGCTTGAATCCATCGATTTTTAAGCATTCCAAAAGATTAAGTTTCAAACCTTGTTCTTTCAATTGCAATAAGTCGTAATCATAATTGCTACTCTGTTAAAAGATGATTTGCAAATGTTAGTATTTTTACTCAAAAAACTACTTCTACTTTCTTCTATTCTTTTGACAAGGGGCACATATTTATTAATGATTATGACATATAACATTTGGAAGATCAAGGTTTGAAACTCATCTTTTAGAATAGATATGAACTGATGACAGTGTAAAATTCCCCTTTACTGAATTTATTTCATTAGGATAAAAACTGAAAATTAGGTATTAAAATAATATGAGGTCTCAGGTAGCTTTTCTATTTATTATGTCAAGTTTAATGACATCTTTAGTATACGGAATGATAGCCCAATTTCTTCATTAGGAAGGAATTTGTCATTACGATTCAAATAACTATCATATATAAAAGCGTGATGTAGAAATTGTCAGTGTTATTATTGAACGTACTCGAAGAAGCTATTGTATAGTGGCACATATGTTGTGATTTTGTAAACTATTGACTGAAAACCTCATAATAATAATCTCTTAATCTAATCATCATATGACTTTGTTTACAAAATATTGAAGTAATCACATAAAACTTCACAACAATTCCAGGAAACAATCGGATAAAAATTTGAAGTTAGAAATGAAAAATTCAACATTTAATGCATAATAATAATAATAATGAACAAGACATGGTAGCCTAAGAATTAGCATAATAGTGATTATTCATTTCATTTTGAATTGAAATAAAAAAAAGATAAAGGTAAAAGTGTTATTTTAATACATTATAATGGATTTTCATCAAGTATCCACTACATTTCTTGCCAATAAATCATTCACCACTTGTGTGATTTAGGTTATAGTCAGGAAGGAAATCTGTCGTTCAACTGGTATCTATTGTAGCACTTCCATTATCAAACTTATCCATTACAGTTTCAACATTTACAATAAATTGTGTATAAACAAATTATATCTACAAAATGATATTAAAACTGAAGTAAATAGAGAAATAACAATTTAACATAAAATTAATTTTTTATAAGATCAACAGTATTGCAAAGTGAACGTTCAAAAGTTCAATCAGCAGAAAAAATGATTGATACCAATTTTTTGGAAATTAATATAAAATCAAGACAATGCACGTTTGTAACTGTAGTTAATGTTATGAAATTTTATGCTGAATGAAGCAGGGTGCCTTGTGGTGAAAACATTTATATTGAAGTTGAGTTACAATTATTCATCACTATATGTTAATTTTGATACAAATAAAGATAGTGAGTTTGAATTGTGTAATGTATTTTGGTGATCAAAATCCAAATGAGCTACTATTTTGAAGAACACAAGTCTTACAAATGTGTCTATGTTCGAGCTTGAAAATGAGACAAATAAATTTATTTATTAGTTACCTTGATGGAGGTGGAGAGCTTGCGGCAATGAGTTGTTCGAGTGTAGCCCAATGTTCTGACTTGGACCATTCCACGGCAGCATCTTTATCTTTGTTTTTTAATGCTTCTAGAAGGGGTCCCATGAACTCTTGCATAGGCAACATCTCCATGGTAGATATATACAAGATAAGATGAAAATCGCTGATGGCAGTGTAAAATTCATTGAAAGCAAACTGTGACAGGTAAGTCGATAAGGCATTGAAGTCCTGAATGTGACCTTCTACCAGTCGGTTTTCTACAGGGAACGGTTGTTTCGTAGGATCGCTGTTGAAGGTATACTGTGGAGTAACAGGTGTAGAGGCAGGAACATCTACCAGAAGGTATTCCACAGGAAGTGGACGAGCCAGACGGGATACCTCATTACCATATGAATCTTTCTCCTAAAATTCAAAACGAGATCAAATAAATATATTTTTTTCAATTTTGACCAATGTTTCAGATAAAAATTTAGAAAATTAAATATTTTGTTCGGCCACGTGGGAGAGCTAATTTGATGACAAAAAAGTTAGAACTATGCAAGTCATCTAATAATTTTTTTACTTCATATCTCCCAAACATTGTAAACTTAAAGAATTCCTAGTAAGATAATGCTTTTATACTATTTTGGAATTTGAATATTTCCTGTTTTGAAATAATATCTAGGTATTTCAGGTTATGTTAGTCATCATTTTAATTTTTTCTTATTGTTCTATTATTTCGTTTCCTTTGTCATTTAAACCTCAATAATACTATTCCTTTAGGGCATTTAAAATTGTAACATTGACTTATCCTATTTATAGTTGAAAGGATTAATAAATATTTCTTTTTATTGCAGCTCATCAATTTCCTCATCAGTTACTGGATAGCGGTTCAATTTTCCATTCCTTTGCTATTTCCCAATGTTTTGAATAGCTGCATCTTCCGGGACATATTTATTAACACTTGCTCACTTTACATTTGAGTATGTGAACATTAATAACCTATGTCCTATGTCCCAATTGAAAGAGTCATTTACATAATCGATGACGAAGACTACCCTTCAATTTAAATGAAAAAAAAAATAATATCAAAGCATTCTCAAACAAAGGTGGTTGTTTTAGATGAAAATAAAGGCGGACTTTCGTCTCAAAGCGGCATTCCTATTTAACAGGTGTCGAAAAGTATTGATTTCATCAGTTGAAAAATCAATTTGATATCAAAACGACTTCATTTACATTTTAATAAAAAATGGCTTAATCTTCAAAGATCCTAGATAACAGGATAATCGAAACCGTCTGAGTTGCAAATATAATACAAAAAATATTATGAAATATAACAAAGGACCCTGCAAAATCTTTGAAAAATTTGGGTCTCGGTGGATTCTTTTGAATTTTTGATATGTAGTCCATGTAATTCTCAATCGATGTTACCATTGCGCCAACCCCAAAAAATTAAGTTTGGCCGCTGGCGGTCGTTAAAATCACCCCTTTCTCAGAATATACTATTCATTTTCGAAACCGGGAACGACATTTTCACCTGTTTCATTGTAGATAGTGTTTGTTGCATATGATTATGCTCTTTTATAAAAAAAAATCTTCATTTCCCCCTCTTCCTCCCACCATCTATTATGAAACGCAAAACATGATATCTGGATTACTTTGAAATGCATCGTCGATGGTCGGATGTTTCAATATGCTTGAATTAGGGAAATAGCACTTTTTCATGACTTTCTCTCCTTCACCGTGGGGAACACAACAAAAAAATTCGCTGATTTTTTTTGAATTTTCAATATGATGCAGATCATAAAAGTGAATAGAAATTTCAAAAATGGTGATAAATTTCAAAAATGGTTAGTTTTGATGCTAGGGAGCGTTAAAGTCATATCTTGCTCAGAATAGACTATATATTATAGGCGGAAACGATATTTGTATTTGTTTAATTTTATATTACGGTGAGTCATATTGTAATCTTTCATAAGACGCATCTACAGTTAGTGGAGAATTTTTTTTTTCGTGATTTAAAACGGGTTGGGGGTAAGGGAGGTTTTGAAATTCTTATGAAAAAATACAATATGACTCAATATAATCTAAAATAAAAAATGTACAAATATCGTTCCCGCCTATAATAAATAGTCTATTCTAAGCAAGATATGACTTTGACGCTCCCCAGCATCAAAACTATTTGGGGTTTATCACCTCGTTAATTTCTATTAACAATATCACGAACTGCATCATATTAAACATTCAAAAAAATCAGAGATTTTTTTTTGTTTTGTTCCCCTAGGAGGAGTGGAGAAAAGTCATGAAAAAGTGCTATTTCCTTAATCCAAGCATATTCAAATATTCAACGGTGCATTTCAGAATAATACATATATCATTTTTTGCGTTTCATAATAGGTGGTGGGGGAAGGAGAGAAGAGATTTTTTTTTTATTAAAAGAACACAATCTTTTGCAACATTAGCTACAATGAAACGGGTGAAAATGTTATTGCTGGTTTTGAAAACAAATCGTCTATTTTGAGCAAGGAGTGATAACGCTCCCTATCAACAAAACTATCTATTTTTGGGGTTTATCACCTAATTGATTTCTATTCACAATAACATGAACTGCATCATATTGATAATTCAAAAAATCCATAGATTTCTTTTTGTTTTGTACTCCTCGGGGGGAGGGGGAATGAAAAAGTGCTATTTTCCTGATTCAAGCATATTCAAACATCCGACGATACACGTCAACGAAATAAACTATTGACTGAAAACCTCATAATAATAATCATTTTCTAAAAAGGGCATAAACATATGCAACATTACCTACAATGAAACAGGTAAAAATATCGTTCCCGGTTTCGAAAATGAATAATATATTCTGAGAAAGGGGTGATTTTAACGACCCCTAGCAGCAAATCTATTCATTTTTTGAGGTTGGCGCAATGATAACATTTCTTGAGAATTGCATAGACTACATCATATCAAAAATTCAAAATAATCTACCAAGACCCAAATTCCGTAAGGATTTTGCGGGGTCCTTTCTTCTTCAAACGAATGTGATTAAGAGGCAAAAGTATCATATCTCAATCTGAAAATTCATATTGTCAACAAAAGAGTGAGCACCGTTTGATAGATCATGTATTTATTTAATAAAATAAAAATCAAGAATAAACTACACCAGCAATTATATCCAAATTCCCATTAAATCATGGGAAAATAGTTGTGGGAATATTTTCCCATGAGGTTGAATCAATGGGAAATCACAATAAATGTCACCAAATAAGTGATATTCAAAAAAATTTAGAGAAACACCAAGTCTTACCAAGTATAAAAAAATGTGTTTGTGTAATTATATGCGGTTTTATATAATTATCGAGTTATTTCAAAGCGTGGAACCGTTAGGATTATTTTACCTTTTTATAAAATTACATCACATTTCCATTTGGCTTACTTACTACCTTTGGTAGATATTCTGTGTATGTAATGAATATATCCTGCAGCCTACAATGAATATTCTTAGAGTATCTCTCGAGAAAAGCATTAACAATATTTAAGAATATCATTTGATGTTCATATGTTCGATTCAGATAGATTTGATGACTGTAATTCCAAAATATCGTAGCAATCAATGTGAAAACGTATTTCCATGAAATTGTGGAACCCATCTTATCCAAATTCCAACGGGAATCTTCGCGAGAACGTTCCTATGAAACTTGAGCAATGTCCATTGACATTGACAAGTTACAATAAATTCCCGTGGACGGATGTCCAAAACATCTGAAGGGGCGAAATTTAAAATAAGAATTTTCTTTGTTTTATATATATGATCACATTGAAAGTAAATGTGTTTTTTAAACCAAATCTTCATGTAGTCGAATCCATCGAAGAAATTCATTTAAGTCAACTTAGCTAAAATTATTACATCGTCATAACTTATGTCCTGGCAATTCTAGACTTCCGTATCGATTTATTTTTGAATTTAGCGCTTTCGTATTAACGGATCCTAAGTGAGGTGCGACGTCAATGCCCAAGGTCAAACACGAGCGCTTCGCCGCAAACTTAACGGGACGAGAATGTCAGTCGTCAACATGATGTGGCACATCGTAAAGCGGCCACTGTAATTTTAAGTTTTTTCGTAATTCTGCCGAATTTCTCGGCACGAAATAATTATGTAATAATAAGAATCGTTTGATAAATAATCGTCTGCCGTACCGAAAACACGCAAATAGTACAAAATCGCGAAAAAACCCGTTGCCGAAACTCGAGTTTTTAATAACGACCAAATATACCGTATCGTTTAATCGGATTTACTTAAAGGCTGTGTTACACATCGTAAATTATAAACGGTAAGGTTATTATCAACTCACAGCAAAAACAACACAAATCACATCCCTCAAGAATAGAAAAACATTGAAATAGGTAGTTGCTTGCTTGTAATTGACACGACGCAAAACCCACTTGTCGATTGTCGATATTTTCGCAAACAAAACACTTGGCGCGAAGCTCTACTACAAATTGAATAAATTCGTGGGATAATATTGTATCTTACAGTTTCTTTGTTTGTTTTCTCAACTATATGATATGAATATAAGCATATAGAAAATTTGTCAATCGCGAATTATGACTAATTACAAAAACCAAGGTAACAGGTTATTCAGTGGAATTAGGTACTTTGGAGGAAATGATTTTTTTATTATAGTAAATGAATACATTTCATTTATCTATATCTACCTCAAGAGCAGTGTTCTAATACTCAATAATTTACGAGGTTAAACTAAATTAATGTTTCCGAAATTCAAACCACAGGTCTGACAGATAGGTGGATAATGTAGTTTGTTTTCACACATAATTTAGCCAAAAAGGTGCGAATACATTAAAGTCAATTAACCATTTGAAAGTTGTAACATGGAGTGAATATATATTAAAAGCTATATACATAATACATACTAAGGTACATGAGAAAACTAACCACGCTTTTGGATATAATCGTCTAAGAGATAAAATGCTCCATAGAATAAATATTTTTTCAATGCTTGTTTAAAATTGACCCTGAATGTAATCACCATTCTCATGTGAAATTTTAATATATTTTGAAATTCCTATTGAGATCCATTTTCAAAAAAAAAGGTAACTCTATAATATGTGGTAGCAATGATTTTTTTTGTTCAGTCACTGTTGTTTTACATTTTTGAAAGTTGGATAACCTCAAAACCTTTTTGATTGTAATAAATCAGTGTCACTTGAATTGATGTAATGATAATTTAAATCACTTATTCATGAACATACCTTTCTCGCTTCAGAAGTAAACTGTTTTTATCATCGCCTGATACCTTGGTTAGCAAAACGTGTGTCAAGAAACAGTGTTTTTATTAAAAATGTTTTCTTTAGATTCATTTTATGCCAGAGATTCAAATTCTTCCTATCAAATGAAGGTTCGCGGAAAAACTAAGAATAGAACTTTTATAATTTCTATCGCAAGAAAGTTTATTTGACCTGGAAAGTGAACAGCCAACTTTGACATTCCCAAATATATCAAGTGCAATGTCCAATGATGTGTCCCTTTTTAAATTTTATTGAAAATGTAAAATCCAGATTTACCCAAAGGGAATACAGTTTCAGGTAGTGGTAAATATTTTCTATTGACATGGGATAAAGATTTAAGTTTATAGGAAGTAAACTCAATAGGAATGTGAATGGTAAACCAATATGTTGGAATAATGCTAATGTTTTTAAAAGTAACTAAACAATGTATATATAAATGAATTTTGAAATGCAAAAAGACACAATTACCTAAACGATTTATTATGTAATGGACACAATAGATAGGTATACATTTTTTTTTCTAAAATATTTGACAAGATTACCAATTATAACGACCACTGACCACTACAATTTCAAATAATAAATTCTTCAGACCATAAAAAGAACTATTCGAAACTTTAATTTTGATGGCATTGAAAAAATATAAAAATTTTTTTTTCTTCATTTTATGGATTGTTTTCAGATATTTAAATTTTGTCCAAGTTCAACCATATGCCATGAATATTTATGAAGCAGAGTTTTAACAATATATATCATTTCAAATATATTAATATACTTGAATATGCAATCCAGAATTTAGGATTCGAGTTAAAAGTTAATTATTGGGTCCTATAGTAGTTTTCCCATGGAAGTGAAAATGTTCCACTCTAATTTGTAAACTACAGAGTATATAACATAAAAATCATTGAGAATTGCATATATTTCTTTCTTGCAGTATTGTTCTGAAACAAAATTTTTGTTATATTACAGAAATGGAATCCGTAGTACCAGAGTTTGAAGAACTGATGTTGTGTGGGTATTGTAAGCAAAAGTTCAACGAAACTGACCAAAGTCCCAAACTGCTGTCCTGCAAGCATTACTTTTGTTTGCAATGTATGCGTACAAATCTCACAAAAGGCCAGGAACTTTATTGCGTATACTGTTGGAAAAGGACTGAAATTGGTGAATTAGGACCAGAATCCCTCCCAACCTACAATCCTGTATTGTGCTTGACAAAGAACTTTTCTCAACTGAAGTTGGGAGTAAAACCTCCGGACAAACCTGCCAAGGTGATATCAGAAAATTGCCACACACACGCAATGCCTTTGGCATTGTGGTGTCACACATGTTGCTCACCTGTTTGTCGAGCATGCGCCAATACAACCGATCACTCATCTCATCAAATTAAATCGCAGAATGAAGCTAAAGACCAATTGATTGCCGAACTGCAGATCGACTTGGCTTCTATGAACAAAATGCTATCCGAGATCCAAAGACTGGCTATGCAACAACGTGAATTCTTGCTTAAAATTCTAGAGGCTTGTGTTACGTTAAAAACACACGTTGAAGCCGATTTGACTAATAATGCGTCACACTTTGAATTGACTGAAACGAGGGATACTTTAGCCAAACTACGACTTAATCTTTCTATGGCCGAAAATTTGTCAGACGTCCATAATTTGTACTCGAGCGTAAACGTCGAAAAGCAACGCCTGCAACTTCGTTACCAGGAAATGTACCTGCAGTGTCAACTAGATGATCTTATTCGAAACTCGAGCGTTATATTCGATTTTCAACTTCTGAAGCAAGCCCTCGGTCATATACACAATGGCGAATCAGTATACCCAGGAAACTCCCGTGTTCTGTCCGGTTCCCAACAAAATCCTATATTATTCTTGGCAAACTACTGCATGTCTCAATTATACTCCCGACACATGCTATCAAAACAAAATTCCAACGGGTCTCTCGACTACCATAACCACAACTCAGTACCTTCGATTAATTATCTTCCTCAGAATCCCCCACCTAACCTCGTGATTCCTGCTCCTAAAAATATTTACCAAGAAAATAATTTGATGATGCAAAATGTCATACATTCTCCTCAAATGCGTAACCCAGCAAATATGTGTCCACTCTATTACTTCAACATAGATGTAAACGGTACTCAGCTTGGTCGAATAGTGATTGAGGTACGTTCCGATGTGGCTCCAAAAATGGCAAAAAATTTTGGGCTGCTAACCACAGGGGAAGCGGGTATGGGATATAAAGGCTGCCACATCTTTCAGTGCTGGGAAGGGGAAAGTGTCATTACTGGTGATTTTGAACTGAATAATGGTCGTGGAGGAAGATCAATTTTTGAAGATTCTTATTTTTTGCCAGATGACACCAAACTGATGGCCGTAAGGGGCACAGTAGGAATGAGAAGAACACAAAAACGACATGACAATCTGGGTATGGTAGGGTCGCAGTTTCGAATAATTTTACAAGAAATGCGTGGTTTTACAGGAATATTTGGACATGTTGTAGAAGGGCTAGAACTGGTCGAAAAAATTAGTACATATGGGGACACTGCGGGTAAGCCCACAAAAAATATCTTAATATCAAAATGTGGGAAACTAAACTAAAATGATAACGATTTAATTTTTATTTCTTAACTTGAAAAAATGATGCCTACTTTTATTTCTAGCTTATTTTAGAAAGTGCTAAAGTAGTTTACTATTGATTATAGATGTTTGAACTCATGTGTTAATTTCCTGAAAAAAATCGTATATGACTTCAAACAACTATTAGAAGAATATTTTAATAATTTTTGTTTCCCACGAAAGTTTTACATTTTTGAAGACCTTTCTCACACAATATTTTTCTCTGGACTAGTTTGGATTTAAAAAAAATATTTTCATAATGTAGAGAGGGTGGTGTGAGAAGAGAAGCTTGCTTTGTGCTATATCTTTTCTACAAAATAACCGGCCTGAAAGGGGAAGAATATTATCTATTTGATGTTTGATCAAACGACTTTAAATACAAAAATAACCGTACAAAAAAAAATAGATGTTTTATATGTGTAGCTTGAGTCAAACTGCAGTCTATGGAAAAAATTTAAACACGTTGATAAGTACCGTCTTAGCTTATATATGAAACTATCGAATTCCGAAATAACTATATTTTCGTATTGTAATGATAAATATCGTAAAAAAGCAAAGGATAGATATTTTTTTTATTGTTGTCGATTTTTAGCTTATGGTGAAATTTAGCTTATAAGTGTAATTTGTTATGTTTGTTTAGAAGAGAGCGAAAGAAATGTTAAAGATTAACAGAGTTTAAAAATCAGAATTTCGAATTGCCAGGGAACTCCACAATATTTCCATTATTTTCCATTTTTAAGCTGTATTCGTATCGATAATCTTTTTATTCCATTATGTTTTGTGTTTTACTTTGTACTTTTTTATAATGAAATGCTTCCTTTTATTTATTCTGGTTTTAAATCGTAATGTACCTTATAGTGATTAGTTTCATGTGCAATTGCGTCTAAATTGCATGAGAAGGAAGAACATCATGCGGGAATTTTCTCTTTTAATGTTAGCCTAAGTTTCTATGCTTTATTCGAAACATTATTGTTATTGGATCTTAACCTCTTGAAAGTATTTTTTGTTTCAATGAAATGATGTCTCGAACTTTGTGTAGAATGAAAATTAACCAAAGTTTTATTCTTTATTTTAGAATATATATTTCTTGTCGTATTTCCTGCAAAAATTGTAATAGAGAAAAGTGTTTAGTATCTAAGTACGGTAAATCGGCAAATTGTTAAACTTGTATTAAAGTTTATATTATTAGCTAAGTTATTAGTATAAACCGGGTATATAGTGTCTCTATAAAAAAATATAAAAATCTGAGAAAGCTATGATATAATACCTGTTTTTCAAATTTGGTTTGAAATAAGTTGAAAAAAATATTTGGCAAATTTAGTAATCCACACTTTGAAACAATAAGTTTTATTGAAATTAAAATAGTTCAATATTTCCAAATTTAACTCACAATCAAACTGTTATAAATATTATCAGATAGGCACCTGAAAAAAGTGTTTTTTTTTGTATTTATGTTGTTTTGATATTTGTGATGATACTCGAAAAGTTGGTAATATTCAAGTTCAAAACTCTGCATCTTGCCAAAGTTTTCAAAATGGGAGGGTCCTCTCATGAAATTTATATTTTTCAAAATTCATTGAAAGTTAAATATATATTTAATCTGATCTTTCTGATTTATGATCTTTCATATTGTAATTTTTATTATAATGTGCTTTGCTGCATAATTAGAAAGTGCAATGTATCAAGTATTATGCCTGAAGATGAAAGAGTATTATTTCTGAAGAATTTGGATAGAGAGCTAAAACACCTTCCAAGTTTCAACTGGAGGTAAATATCAAGTGATTAAAACTTAACTTGAACAAGAAACATAAAGATTTCTTCGTTTTCATACATTCTAGTCGGTTCCAGATGGATACAATAAAGCTCATTTGTCACAGAGATAAGACCAAGATAAATTTCAATTTCAAAGGTGTGTGTAAGAAATCATTATAACATATCCTCAAGTGAAAACTAACTGGTACTGTTTGAAAGACATGCAACAAAAGACATCGCATTTGATTCTACAAATTTCAAGTAACAATTGAGAAGTTTATAAAACTTTAATATTAAAGTAAAGGACAAGGTGCTGTTTTTATTTTTCACAATTAAGAGGCCTCACTTATAGTTTTCGGAATTAATCGATTGATTTTCAATTGAATATGTCATGATTATCTGAATCGTGGCTATTGCTGTAGGCTAAATGTGAAGCATCAATGTGCAGAAAAAATAGATTTTAGAATCGTTGTAAAAAACAATAGCTTTAGTAATTCGTGTGTAAAAAGAACTGTACAGATCACAAATATTTTGGAGTACTCGAACTTGCTTAAGACATACCAACAAATGTTTCGATTTGTATTGCCAAAAACTCCATAGTATATCTGATCTCTATTCAATATAAAGCAGAAATGACCATAATTGTTGTAATTTCCAACGTTAAACTCTACCTTTTTTAAATCGGTATTATTTCAGTACTGCTTTCAACAAAAATATAAACTCATGATTGATACGACGAAACTGACTTCACTATGAATTTTTACATTTCCCCAATATCTTAATTACTCAGCAACATGTGTGGTCATATCTGGGTGATGTAAACAAAACCCCTTCATTGCGAACTCAATGTAGTAGCCAGTGTTTTGTGCCTTGTTACCCGACTAATATTTGTGATAACTGAGTACCTACCACCTCACGTTAGATTTCAAGTAAATAAAATGACTTTCCGCATCTGTAAGATGACCTTTCATTTACACCCTAAATAATCAACTCCAGTGATGCCACATTGGAAAAAAAAGGTTGGTGATAGCTAAACAAACAATTTGTAATAAATCCATTCTCATGGCAGATAAAATAATGTAAAGCTATTGATAAGCTAATTTTGAGGAAAGGTTTTGGCTTTCTACTTCTCTATCTTTATACAAACAAATATATATAAATGAATGTGGGAACCTTCCAAAGAAAGGAAGATAGCAAATAGTTCCAAAATAAACTCTTCACAAAGATGTGTAGATCATACAAAGAAGTAACTTTCAGACAAACTGTTGTTTCGAGAGGGCGTTTTCTTCCAGTTTGTGTCTGAAAGTTACTTCTTTGTATGATGTACACATCTTTGTAAAGAGTTTATTTTGGAACTATTAGCTTTCTTCCTTTCTTTGGAATGTTCCCACATTTTTTGTATAAAGATCAAAAAGTAGAAAGCCAAAACGTTTCCCAAAAATTAATCTCTTCCAACAATATATCCCTTTCAATTCAAACTTGATTCTTATGGCTAGGATTGAGTCAGCGAAGCGAATGAATGTCATTACATACCGTCATCGATGACATGAGTAGATTTAACTCATTCGTCTTAATTTTATGAATGAATTGAGTGCTTTAGCTTGTAATGTTATCCGGATTGGTGCTGACAAGGCAATAATACAAGTGTATTATTCCGAAACATCGATGTCCGCTATTGAAGATGACAGTGTTTCATGTAAGTAAAATTTTATTTCTTTCATTGTGTAGCAATCCTGTGAATGATATCTGATTCAATTCCGTAAAGAATGTTTAGATTACAAATTGAATAGAAAAAAATGTTTTTTGTGTAATTCAATCTTCATATGAAAGTAGTTGTTTCGAAAGTATTATTTCTTTCGTGTAATTCAATGTTTATATGAAAGTAGTTGTTTCGAGATGTCATTCCTTCCAGTTTGTGTCTGAAAGTTACTTCTTTATATGATCTATACATCTTTGTAAAGAGTTCATTTTGGAATTACTTTCTTCATTTCAAGATAAGATAATTTATTGATCTTTTAGATGTATATGAATAAAATACAAATAAGATAAGTCACATATACATACATTATTACCCAAGAATGAATATTATACTGTTTCGCCGTTTATTTGTGTTTCTCTGGATAAGACAGCTACATACTCGTCAGTACCGCCATTAAATATCAACATTAATAACACATGCATTTATAGTACTGAAAGTGTTAAATTTCTTGGAATTTTTTTGGACGAAGACTTATCATTTCGAACTCACTGTCTACAGCTTTCTAAGACACTGAACTCAAAATGTTACCAAATCAGAAATCTTAGATATACATTGAATTTGAATCATCTCCGTTCATTCTATTTTGCAGAAGTTCAATCAAGAATTAACTATGGTATTGCAGTCTGGGATGGATCAGCATATGCACAAAATGTTTTTCTGGCTCAAAAGCGCATTATTAGATGTATTGCTAGAGTCTCATTTAACCATAGTTGTCGTGACCTTTTCAAAAACATGAGGGTTTTAACAGTTAGTGGTATTTTCATTTTAGAACTTTTGAAGAATATACACAAAGCTCGTGACGACCATATGCGTGTAGATGAACTACACAATTATGATACTAGACAGAAAGGCAAATATTGCGTTCCCTTCAGACGCTTAAATATTAGCTTAAATTCACCTACTGTACTTGGCTTAAGACTCTATAATCGACTTCCACAAAGATATAGATCCTTTTCAAACCGGAAATTTCTTATTGAAGTGAAAAAGATACTAATTGATCTGTGTCCCTACTCCCTAGAAGATTATTATGAATTAATTTTTTAAAGAACAACCTGTAAACATGTATTATTTCACTATCTTGTGTTAATTGTATTTTGTCTGCAATCCTTGTTATGCATGTACATAATTTATTTTATTTTATCATTTTACTCACTGTACTTTGTTGTATGTCTATGTTTTTTGACTTGTCCTATAGCTGTATTTGCTCGAATGGATAAATAAAGAATTGAATTGAAATTGAGTAGAATAAATACAATTTGAAATCAATAGATATTTCAGATACTTTTTGAACAAGTATTGATTTAACTTTTTGACATGGGGAGGTAGAATATTGTATAAGTTGACATCAATAGAGTTTCTGTTTGACTTTTTCAGTCTGAATCTACTGGCCCTCAACAAATCACAGCCTCTAGTCTCATGATAGTGGAAATCACAATTTCTGTTTGATGTTGATTCATTTTTATGAATATCAAAAGTTGATACAGATAAAGAGAAGGTACTGTCATTATTTTCATCGAAAGGAAATAAGGTCTACAGGAATCTAAGAAACCAGCCCCAGATAATATTCATACGACCTTTTTTTGCAACATAAATATCCTATTTGCGTGAGTAATATTTCCCTAGAGAATTGTTCGATATGAGATGTGAGAATGGAAAAAAGCGTAGAAAGCTGATAATAGCACCTGTTGAGAGATTATATCTTTCAATTTCCGAAAAAGAAATGTATATTTCGACAGTTTAATGCTAAGTTGTTCAATGTTCTCTAACCAGTTCAAATTATCATCTAGATGTATGCCTAAGAGTTTAACACTGTCCTTCAACCCAAGAGATGTTTGATGTAAAAATGATGTGTTGAGTTTGATTTTCGTTTAACATTAGATTATTTCTTTTGAACCATATGTCAGCATTCTTTTGAATTTGATTTACATCGCGCACCAAATTACCCTTGATTTTTCCGGATGTCGCAAGAGTAGTATCATCGGCAAAAGCAAAACAATTATGAGGTGAGATGAAGGAAAAGCGATCATTTATATAGATTATGAATGAAAAAGGCCCCGGAACCGAGCCTTGGGGAACTCCACATGTAACTGGACACATTGTTCGAGTCAATTGACACATATTGGTATCTGTTTGTCAGATATGAAGAAAAAAGAGACAGGGAATTTCCTCTTATGCCATAGTCATCTAATTTTTTCAGTAGAATAGAATGGGAGACACAACAGAATGCTTTTGTTAGATCACATAAAGCGGCAATAGTGTGTTCTCCTTTTTCAAAGCAAGTTATTATGTTTTCGATTACTTTCTTTACCG